AAAAGAAACACATATTAATATATAGTATTGAAAAAATTAGTAAATAGATTAAGTATTGTAATATATATTTGAATGTGAAACATTTCAGCTTCTGTAATCGTTATTTTCATGTAAAATATTATGATTGTACTATAAATTTTAATTTGTTTAAAACTTCCATTATGTATTATTATTGCGTGAAATAATATGTTTATTAATATTATTATATTTTGGTATACAATTTTATGAATATATTATTATTATTATTATTTAAAATTCATTTTCTAAGATTATAATTATAATATTTATAATACTAAAATGCTACATGAGAAATAATAAATACACATTCTTTAATAGATACAAAGACTAAAGTGAAAAGTAAACAATGTAAAAAGGTGAACAGTGCGCCTTCAAATTTAAATGTGTACTGTTCACCTTTTAAAATTGAAGGAATAAAATTATTGGAGTATAAAACCTTTCAAAAAGAATGAGGTGATAAATGGCTGGAGATGCTGCTCTTAACAAACAAAAGCTCATAATCCCTTTATAATACGTAGCTGTATTTTGCTTTATTATATTTTATTTAACTTCTTTACGTTATTCACAATAGAATAATGGAGAAGAATCTTCATAATCAATTATTGAAAGGGGTTATTTGTCAACTAATCATGAAAACAAAAATTACTTTTTTTAGTAAAATGAATAGAAAGAGATAGGAAGAAGAAAAATGAGAATGAGAGTGATTTTAGTTGGTTAATATATTTTGGGTTTTTTAGTGTTAGGGTCTAAATGGTGACCACTTGAAACTTAGGTACGAGAGCGAATGATTTGTTCCTATTGATTCCTTTTTTTATTTTACCATTCACTAGTAATTTTTGACATAAATGGAACACACACAATTCTTCATTATTTCTCTTCGTATATGGAATGGCAGAAGAAAAATATTCCCTATCAGTTTTGATGAGGAACTAAATGGAAAATAATAAAACTTGGTAAATATATATTAATATGAATTAGAAAATTAACATTTTCTTGAATACTCCACGTCTCTTGCTTGATTATATATGTGAAAAATATTCTAACACCTAACCTAGAAAATTTCAGAGTTCTACCGTCAAGAAGTACACACTTTTTTTCTTTGTCAGCCAAGAATTGCGTACACATGACTCCTCGAGTGCTGGAAACCGCTATGCGAGATGATCCAATGTTTCCTCATCCTCCAGAGGGAAAATATTATCTTGTAGATTCTGGTTATGCAAATAGGCGTGGTTATTTAGCTCCATGTCGAAAAGAAAGAGTAAAGGTACTCGATATCATCTCCAAGAATTTTTAAATAGCGAGCCTCCAAAAATCAGTAAAGAGATGTTTAACGGATGGCATGCATCACTATGTTCAGTTTTGAACGTACTTTTGGTGTTTGGAAGAAAAAATGGAGGGTTTCAAAAGAATTTCCAAGGTACGATATCTCGACGCAAAGAAATGTTATATTTGCAACAATGGGACTCCACAACTTTATTTGTTGGAACAAGATTAAAGATATTGACTTTGAAGAATGGGATGTGGGAAGGGACACCACACATATGCATCAGAATGTGAACAACAATTCAGACGATGAGAGGGATGAACAAGTGAACCAAAACACATCGACAGGGGTTTACATGAAGAGTGCGAGATCATATTGCTGAACAAATTTGGACTGATAAAAGACATGGTTCCCGTTGACTATAGGTTCGTATATGTCTTATTTCTATTAAATAGATTTAGTTATAGTTATAGATATGAAGAAGTAGTAGTTATAGATTAGAATTTTTGGTAAAAAAAAAACAATAATTCAATTGTTGCTTGTGCAGGTAAGAGATACATGGAGAGAGGAGTTTTAAAGCTTTTTTTTTTTTTGGTAAGTGATAAGGGACAAGAGCCCCTTACTTTTTATTCAAAAATCAAAGAATTACAAGCAAAACTGACGAGTTCTTGCAACCCCATGAGAGTCATCCGACAAAATGGGAACAACATGCTCAGGAGCAAGTTCAAAATAATGTAAACCAAAAGGTAAAACGAACGCATAGTTAGCTAATTTATCTG